TTTTATAATTAAAATATATATATATATGTGATTAATATGATTTTATCTTAATTAATATAAAATGTATGTATATAATTAATAGCAAACGTGATATATAATATAATAATCAAAATGAAAAGTAATATCTTTTAACTTGCGTGTACATATTTTAGTGGATAGAAAACGAATAGTAAAATAAATAATAGGGACTTGATGGGTGGGTGGGTGGTTTTCTTCTAAGCTTACCGTATTTCAGCACTTGGACGTCGCTAACAATGACCTGATTAACGTCGGTAACAGAATCCGGGGAACGGGTGTTCAATGCCTTCAGCACGCGACCGTCGTCTGTGGAATATATCAGAATATTTCCATATATAATTTTCGAGGAAAGCGAAATACGATCTTTCGTGCTTTCCAGTTACGAGAAATGTTATTATTTTAAAGATACTGATGATGACAATTACCTGTTCCAACGTAAAGTATATCATAGGCCTTGCCATCTAACGCTTTTACTTGTGAATCAACAGCAACTTTTGTAAATCTGTAACTAATTGACACACGATCAATGATTATTTCTTTCAACACGGAAAATAATATACAACGATTATGAAAAAAATAATATTCTATTATATTTTAACTATTAATATCATATTTTATATTAAATCCAATTTTTCTTATCACATTTGATTTGTTTTTTTTTATTATTTCTATAAAACGCGATTAATAGTTATATATCGAATCTATTTTTTTTAATTAATTAAATAAAGATACTATAGAACAAAATAATGCAATTTTTTTTATCAAAAAGATAAAATTCCAAAATATATCCTGTTATTACTGTTAAAACGTTATGATTAATAAATCATATTTTACTGTAAATAAATAATTAAGTCTACGTCGAGACGAAAAATATTGAACGAATAGGACACATTTGAAAAGAAAAAAAATTAACCTTAATTACTTAATAAGTTAAATGAATTTCAAACGGTCAAGTATATAAATATCAAGAATATTAATATCTTTATATTATCATAGGGTGTTATATATAATCCGTTAATCCCTTTTACTAAAATCATCCTGAGTAATAGAAATTGTTATAATAATAATAATAATAATAATAATAATAATAATAATAGGAAGGACTTACTTGAAACTGACTTTGGTTATCACAGGCATTGCGAAATAGGATTGAACAGCATCATCCATTAGTGGATGAGCCTTAACAAAATTCACAATTGTATCTTTGAGTGTTCTAGAATCGTTAACGCAAGTACCAGGTCTTGGTTTAGGCACCCTTTCTGTTGGTACTCTTAGCCAGTTGCTGTTTATCGTTTCTTGTTCCTTAAACGCACCCTGGAAGACTTCGAGAACACTGCTCATGGAAAATGCGCATATCGCTGACCCACCAATGGAATTTACAGGAGTTGTAAATACACCATATACCAATCGTGTACGATTACCAGCATATAATCCTTCGGTTACTTCGCTCGTTGATTCTGAACGCATACAAAAAAAAAACAAAATCATTTATTATTATTTAATAATTATAAGATTTTTTCTATCAGATTATTATTTTTAAATATAATAACAATAACAATAATATTTTCTACAATTATATGTGTATATTAAAAATCAAATAGATTTACACATTTGATTATATATTTACTTAATGAAAATATACAATACAATTTTTAATGATAAAATTTTACAGGGAACTTGGACATGAAAACAAGTAGAACTTAGTTTGATTGAGTTGGACGTTTCGTCCCTTTATTGGGACTTCTTCAGCAACTTAATCTTTAGGATTTTTTGTTTTGTTGAGGACTTTAAATAATAACGATCGAATAATTAACGAAGTTTAAATGTGTTGTGTTTGGAATATTAAGAAAAAGAAAAATGTATGTCGAATTAAAGAAAAAATACGCTGAACTTTAAAGATTAAGTTGCTGAAGAAGTCCCAATAAAGGGACGAAACGTTCAACTCAATCAAACTAAGTTCTACTTCTTTTCATGTCCAAGTTCCCTCTAAAATTTTATCATTAAAAATTGTAATTTTGGACGAGAGAAATACTAAATATACAATACAATATAATTTCATATAAATCCTATGATAAAACTTATATCAAATCCCATGACAGTAAACGTATGTTAATCTTCAATAAATGATGTGTCATACCCTAAGAACCTTCCTCTCTCTCTCTCTCTCTCTCTAACTCTCTTTTGCATATTATTACGTGCTGCTGTTGTGAAACATCAATAACGCAAGCAAGATATTCTCTACCTTTTCCTTAAAACCCTTTGCTTATCCTTGAAGCTCTAACGACTTAGCCATGAACTGTGCACGATCGCGAAAATGTTTCTTGGCGGTGAGAAAAATAAAAAAAGAAAAAGAAGAAAAAGAAGAAAAAGTAGAAGAAGAAGAAGAAAAGAAGGTAGGAAGGAAGGAAGTTACGAAACGAGATAGTAGACGAAGGTAACGGGAAAGGGCGTGAAGAGGAAAAGAACAGGGGTGGGAGGAGGGAGGGGGGGGAGTATGGGGGAAAGGAAGGGTTGATGACGACGAAAAAGAGAAGAAAATGTCACACTCGCTTGCTACGTTTTCCCAGACTCTCTCTACTCGACTCTACTGTAAAAAGTAAGAAAGAAATAAAAAAGAGAATGAGATAGAAAGAGAGGGAGAATATAAGTGAGAAAGAAAAAGAAAAAAAAAGAAAAAAGAAAAGTTTCCAACATTGCGACAAGTTTAAAAGTCGAACGAACCTTTAAAGTCTCCCTAACATTTCTCCCTTTCTCTTTTAATCTTTTTCTTTCTCTTTTTATTTTTCTATCTCTCTTTCACTTATGAGAATATGCACATAAGTTATATCCCTCTCTCTTTATATCAGTTTCCTTCTTTATTTTATTTATAAGAGTATGCACATAGGTTCTCTCTCTCTCTCTCTCTCTCTCTTTTTATTTCTCTCTTTTTCTTTTTATCATTTTGTCACATTTTGACTTATGAGAGTATGCTATACCACATTGAAAGGAATAGGGTAGGAACTTAACATATATAACATATATATATATATATATATATATATGTATAGATAGAAACGTGTACCTTTTAAGATGTATTTTAAACATACCCCATATAGATGTTAAAAAAGTTTACGAGTGAAATTCCACTCGTCTGTCTAACGGGAAACACTCTTCGAATCTTCGTGCATGAGAAAGCAACCCGTCTAGCTAGCTAGCTAGCCAACCAGCCAACCAGTCAGCCTTTTTGCACCCTAACCCTTCCCCCAGCCCTCTTCTATCCACCCCACCCCTCTTTCACTCGATTCCGTCGTCGTCCTTTTCTCGAGGAAACAAAGTGGAAACCCCGGCACAAAACTTTGTCAAATTCATCTCTCGAGGAGAGAGAAGATTTTATAGTAGTAGTAGTAGTAGTAGTAGTAGTAGTAATAGTTGTCGGTAGACTTTTACCTCGACGTACGATTCTGACAACTCTGATGAAAATTCAACTACGGTTTCTTCCGATCTTGTTCTTTTTTTTTTTCTTCTTCCTCTTCTTTTTCACTTCCTTGGTATTTGGTTTTTTTTTTTATTTTTTAAATAATTCTCTACTATATTTTTCTTTTTCGTTATATTTTATACCGCGCGCGCACGCGCGTGCGCATCGAGAATGTCTGTTCTACGTTTTAATTATTAAGATAAATATGATTTTATTACGAAGAGCGAGTAGAAAAAGAAAAAAAATACGGGGGGACGAAATAGAGGGGGGAGGGGTGGAGTACACTTTTCTATTTTATTATATTATTTTTAATTCACACAGTTTTTGTTGTTACGAATCTCGTCGACGATGTATTTCTCGTTGATCTCGATAAAAATATTTGTCTGCATTTTGATATATAAATATGTATATGTAAATATTCCCCTGCTCCCCCCCCCATCCCCACCTCATCCCCATTAATTCGATAAAACCGATTTTTCATTAAAACAATTTTGCCCAAGTGATTTGTTTTATTTATACGAGAATTATTTCTATTATTCTTGTTTGTCATTTCCCCTCTCGAAAATGTTTTTCGAACTTTCCAAAAATTTCCTATCTCTCTTTTTTTCTTTTTTTTTTTATATAATATTACCATAAAATATTTTGCAATAGTGACACAAATAAATGAATTTAACAAACGTTGGCTGTTTGTTTCTTAATTCGTTTTTTCAAATCTTGAATCCATCTCTTTCACACTTTATTTCGAATTACATTTTCATTTTCAAATCCTCTTATATAATAATCCATCTTTATACTGTGTTCCCAAAGAAAAAAAAAAAGGAAGAAGAAACATTAACCCTCAACAAAAATGCAAATAATTAACTGAAATCGGATAGTTCGTTCTGTAACTTGGATTAACTTTAACACACACACACACACGCGTACCTTTATTATTTTCTTTATTTAAACAGGAAGATGATCTCAAATTTCGTTAATTCGACGTATATAAGAAATACAAAAAGGAATATAAACAAGCACATCCTCCCCTCTTTCTCCCACCCTCCCACTGTTAAATCCTGATCTTCGAATTACACGCTGACTCTCTTCTATTCTCCCTTAAATCAAAGAATAAAGAGAAAAAGGTTCGTTTAATATGGACGGGAGACCCTTTATTCAAACAATTCAAACAATTTGATATTCTTGTATCGAAAAACGGTGGAAGTAGTTATATTATATAAGGAAAACAAAAAAAAAAAGGAAAGGTGGAACGATAAAGGAAACAAAAAAAAATACGAAAGGAAAAGATTGAAGGGGAGAAAGAAGTAGAATAATAATAATAATAATAATATGCAGAGAAAAGAAAAATACGAAAAAGGAATATATATACGTAGTCGAATAAACGCTGGCTGGGCTGCGTCTTCTTTTCGCGTTTCTCTTTTCTATATAGTTGAATAATATATCTTGAAGATACTATTATATCTTCTATCTCACTCATTCTCATTCAATCATTTTCATTCTTTATTATCCTTTCTCAATCATTCCCCTTTACTCATTTCCTTTATCCCTTTTTTTTTTCCTCTCAAATTTTTATTTCCCTTCTTTCTATTTACTAACTTTACTAGTGTTTTATATATTTTCTCATTGGAAAACTTTGAAACGTTAGGTTCTTTCGTTTGTTCTAAAGAGTAGTAGTAGTAATAGTAGGAGTAGTAGAATTTCATGGGGTTGAGGGTTGGATAGGGATAGAAACTGGGTTGAAACTTTGTAAATCACCATTTTTCGATGTATTCCGATGTAGTATCTCATGAATTTTCTAACGTTAGTCATCGAGGTTGGTAAAACGTATGATTGACTAGTACAAACATGGTTTGTCAGGTTCACGTTTGTTAGTTAGACCAGAAACTTGGTCTCCATCGTATGTTGCAAGAGTTTGTGGATCGGTTCTCTCTCAATACTTCTACTACACAAACTGTATATAGTATGTGTTTGTATGTAGTGCTAGTATATATAATACTTGGTCGTTGAGAGAGAGAGAAAGAGAGAGAGAGTTTAACGTTTACTCTTGTATTATTGTTCATGACAAACTTTATTACTTCGGATAGAGAGAGAGAGAGAGAGAGTATAGTATAATTTAGTCAAGCATAGACCAATCAAGTTTGATATGTTCCATACAATACTCAAATATCGTTGTTATACATTTTGTTTTAATAAACTAATTGGGAAATATTATATATATATAGATCATGTTTTTAATTTATCAATGATATTATCTATGATTGCAGAACGATTTAATTTGTGGTTGTATATTAAAGAAAGATAAAATAATTTATAATATTATTTAATAATATTTTTTATTAGATATTAAATATTTCAATCTTTCAATAAGCAACCTTTCTTTTATCTATTATAAATATATTATATATATTATATAATAATAAATATATTTATTTATATTTTATATATATATCAAAAATGTATAAAACAAACCTTATTTGTCCTTACAACCAATAGGTACAAATATAGTTGTATTCTATAATACAAATTCACGTTATTTCCTTTAGCAAGGAAATATATTTCTGTTATCGAAAAACGAAATCACTATTTCCTTATCGAAAGGATTACATTTTTCCCTTTACCGATAAAGATCCGATATATCAAACAATACTTTTCTAAGAAAGTTCTTGAATACACCTGGGAGAATAACAGAATAATAAGAATAACAATAGTATACAAATAAAAATGAAGAAAAACAGATTCAATTTAACGATATATATATATATAGAAAAATACGCCATTCTAATTCCCATTCGTGTATGGTGCCTATGTAAGAATGACGTTCAGTTATTGGTCGAAGGTAATCGCGATACACAGAATCGAAGAATTTCTCAGAACCAGGGGGTAGGTGGGTGGGTGGTTGGTTGGTCGAGTAATTCGGTTTCTTTCAGGTGCAACGGGGGTCCGATTCCATGTCGGAAAATTTCATCCATGGGAAGGAGAAAGAGAGAGAGACTATAATAAACTTCTTTATTCATTTTCCTTTCTTCCATTCTGCGTTCTGTTCCTCGTTCCAAGGTTTGTTCCCTGAAGTCATCTGGCCAAGACAGAACAGATCGAGAAGGAAAAGCCATACCACCCACCCATCTACCACCAGAAGCTACGATGACGAAGAACAAGAAAAGAAAAAGAAAAAGAAGGGGAACATCTGAACGAATGAACGGACGAGTAAACGAAAGAAAGAAAGAAAGTGAAGTGAAGTGAAGGAGAAAGAATGAACGAACAAAGGAAGTAAGAAGACAGGCGTAGATCTAAAAAAAAAGAAAAGAAAAAGAAATGGTAAAAGAAGGTTTGAAGTTTAAAAGAGAAAGAGAGAGAGAGAATTGGGGGTTGGGGGTTGGGAGTTGGAGGTTGAGGGGGGGTCTAGCTTGTCCGAGCAATCGGTGGGATAGTCCGGACCCCTACGATTTGGCAAAGATCCACCAAACGGATCTTTCTGCCTGGCCAGAAGCCAAGGTTCCTGGTTGGATAGGGATTTCTGTTCGATGTGCGGCGACAATATTCTCTCTCTGGCTCTTGAAAGACCGATAGAAGGATAGAAAGAGAACAACATATATATCCCTACCCCTTAAACTCATCTCATCCCATCCCATCCCATCCCCTATCCCAACTCACCCCACTGCTACTACTACTACTAGTCTCATCTTTTCTCTTTTACTTTGGACAACCACCATCAGCAGCCTACTCTAGTTCGTTCACCAACGTTTGGTTCCACCTTTCCTCTTCTTCCTCCTCCACCTATACCATCCTCCCTCCTGGTGAGTTTGCGGCCATTGTACCATTTGTACTTTCCTACAGGCTCCCCAGGCTTCATTTCGTTCCTCCCGTAGGCAGTTGGGACGACTTATCGAGTGACAGGAAACGAGTTTATATAGTACACTACATGTTCTCTCTCTCTCTCCCTCTGTCTATTCTACTCTACTTTGCTCAGTTTAGGAAATGGGAGAGAGAATTAGGATGAGCTAAACCACGACGACTGCTTGTGAACGTGACGATGAATAATCTATCCATTTATCTATTTTAGTATGCATGGTGTTAAAGTATTACATAAAACAAGTTTCATTTATATTCAGTAATTTTGTATGTATATATTAAAACATTTGTCGTATTGTATGTATATACTAAAACATTTGTCGTATTGTATGAACATATATTAATTGATGATAATACTTTTCTTACATTTGTTCATTTTATTTATCAAATATCGGTATACTTTTATATACTATTTTTCTTTATTACTTTTATCTACTTTGTTTGCGTTATTATTATTATAATGATAAGTTTAATAATAATTATATAATTTAGTTTAGGCTTTAGGGTCAATAAAATAATATTAAATAAATAGATAAAATTATCTGACGATTTGTGGAATAAAATCAATCGAAGAATTTGATGAAAATAAATAATTGTAAAGAAAAGAAATTTGTATTAAAAAGTAATAATCGATACTTACGTATTTCGTTGAAATAGAACGGATACTCTCCAGGTACCGAACAATTAAGTCTAGCTTTTAGGAAGCTTGTCCATCTGTCGCTGAAAGCATGAGGACCGCCTTTGTCATGATGGCAAACTCTACCGACCCGCGAATAGACTGCCTGAAAAATAAAACAAAACAAAGAAGAAGAAGAAGAAGAAAATAAAGTAATTATTTTTTACAAACAATATATTCTACATTTCTCTCTCTCTCTCTCTCTCGCTCTCTATTTCTATTCTTATATTATTCTTTTTCTTATACTTTTTATTTCTATTTTCTTTTCTTTTCTTTTGGATTTTTATATTGTTTTTCTTTTTCTTGTTCTTTTTTTTTTTTTTATAATTTTATTTCAAAAGAACAGAAAGAGATAACGTGTCTTACCTTGCCACAGTTCATATACTCGACAGCAGTTTCCCGATAGAAAAAGAACACGTAATCCTCATAGGCGAACGAGCTGACAAAATTTGGTCCTGTGAACAAAATACAAATTAAATTTATTTATTATTTTTTATTATTAATATCCTTTGTTTAAGTTTATCAATCAGTGTCATTCACATTCTCGTTTTCCATTAGAGATTATCATTATTATTATTTACATACACGATTATCGTTTTTAATATATTTAATATTTACATTATATAATTATATTTAATATTAATATTGTTAAAACTTAAACATATATTCCTGCGAAACACCCTTTCCTAATTTCCTCGAACACTTTGTTTTCCAAAGAAAAAAAAAGAACAAAGTATTATCCTCCATCACTTTTCTACGTTCTTTTGTTATTTTAATTAATCCACAATAGAAAAACGATGCATTTAAACTTTACAATTAAATTACAAATTAAACAACTACAAATTATATATATATATATATATATAGATTTTATTTGAAACTTTTTTGAAAAATATTCTGTAATTAGTTACTTATACGAATTAACCAAGATATTATTATTGTACACATTTGAGAAACGTAATGCAAACTTCTCAAATTATTTATTCTATTCAGAGATGAACTCATATTGCATTCTCGTTACTTCTGAATCCAACACGTAAAACACATACACATACACACACTCACTCTCTTTCTCTCTCTCTCTCTCTTTTTATTTCCTTACACACGTGTTTCGTTTTAATTTAGAAATAATTTTACGTTTAAACGCTTTAATTACACTTTTTTAACGAGTCTACCTTAATGATTCGTGGAAAACGAGGTAAATCATAGGAAAACTCTCAACCTACCTACCTACCCCCCCTCACCTTTTTTTATTCCCCCTTACTTTCTTTCTTTTTCTCTCAAACATACACACATATTATTTCTTACACACGTAATACACGTAATACACGCGTACACTTACACGAATGTATACACGTTTATTGGTTTATACTAGGAAATTGTAGAAACCATGGTTATCACCAACGTATTTATAATAGCCAAACTCGATGTGAAATAGAAATCTATAGGGCAAAGTTTATGGTTATACGCAATACAGTAGTGATACGATATCGCGATCGTTGAGAATGATTTATAAGCGTGACACCGATCAAGAGGGGAATAGGGGGACAGGGGGGACAAGGGTAGATTGGCTAGAAGAGGAAGAGGAAAAGGAAGGGGAAGGGTAAAGGGAGGAAGAGAACACGTTGGTTCGACATTCGGTAAAATTTCGTTACTAAAATCGGATAAAAGATGAGCTCTCGTGCGATCGAAATAAGGGTTGGCGAAAAGCGAAGGGAAGAGTGGGAGGGGTTGGGAAGAGGTAGGGATGGCATGGGGGATGGGATGGGGTAGGTCGAAATAAATCGAAATTTCCAAATAAATTGACTGTCGCATTCGTGTTCGCTGATAAGGATCAAATACCAACATGTCGATAACGGGGTGTTGGAATTGATATTTGAAAGGTGGGGGAGTGGAAAAAGGGTAGTTGGGGGAGGGGGGTAGGTGCCTAAATACTAATTGTAAGTTCTATTCGTTCGTTTGTTAGTTCGTTTATTCGCTTATTCGTTCGATCATTCATTCGTTCATTCAAAGTACGTTAAGCGGAAAATTAACGACGAACGGAATAATATTCTTTCGGGGAAAATACGTGAGTTGGGGGTGGGGGGTGGGGAATGGTGGGGGTCATCATTTTTTGAATGATTCGAGAAGAGAGAGAAAAGAGAACAGAGAGAGAGAGAGAGAGAGAGAGAGATTTTACGATGAATAATACTATATGTCGATAATTAAATTTTAATTTCAATTCGTTTAATCATCTCTCTCCATTCTTCTCTCTCCTCTCATTGGTCAGTGCATTTTGTATTGTATTGTATTCTCTCTCTCTTTCTCTCTTGTTCTCTTTTACATTTATTCGTACTTATTAGGAACAGCTTTTGAACTACAAAGGGTAGTATTTAATTAACATGATAATTAAATGTAACATAGCTTTGTCGTAAAACGTGTGATGGGTTATACACTACGTCGTATATTAACTATTATATATATATATGTGTGTGTAGTAGTAGTAGTAGTAGTATTCTCTATAGAGTTTTATAGAATATAGTAATATTTGTGTTGAATATTATTCTCCCGATGTTGTTGTTGCAATTTTTTTTTGTTTTCTTTTTCTTTTTCCTTTTTTGTTTTTCTTTTTTTTTCTCTCCCCAAAAATTTCTTGATATAAAACGAACGATACGTTTAGGTTGGGACCACCTCCTTTTCACCGAATTGCATTTGATTGACGTTACGTTATATCAAATGCATTGATTTTTTCACACTCGATTTACGGATATCGAATTCGCGTAAGCTAGTATTTACTCAGATATTCTTTGTATTCGTATTGACATTTTGTCGCATTTGCGAATTTTTCTTTTTCCTATCTTTTTCTTCTTTTTTGCGTCCCCTTGTGTTTTTTTAATCTTTTTTCTTTTGTTTTTTTTTCTTTTAATTTTAGCACGCGTTAGTTCATTGCATTTGCAAAATAATTATGAAATGGGTCGAGATTTAAATGTTCCGATACGTGTGTGTGTGTATTATTATTATTGTTAACAAAAAATGAAATTAAAAATCCTATTGTAAATTAGTAATGAAAAAAATAACAAAAAATATGCTATCATAATTGGTAAATGAGAAGGATAATAATATTATAATGAACAAAAAAAAGAAAATAATAATAATAATAATAATAATAATAATTACCATTTAATTGATTCAAATCTGATCGTTCCGTTCGTATCTTGTCCCTTAGGATAAGGGGTGCACCTCCAGTGAAATCCGCAACTGTCGCAGCGTATAACTGTCCCTCTGAAACACAGAAACGTTTCTACTGTCAAAATGTCAACGTTGAAGACAATTTACCTTGCGGCATAACGTTTAGAATGGTTAGTTAAAGGGATAGGAGGGTGGTAGGTGAAAGGAAGGGGGGTGTCCAAGATGACACCCTTAAATCAAATTTACAATTATAACAACGCTTTTGGTGTACATTAAAGGCAACCTTTTATTTAAATTAATTTTCAAACAGTGACGGTGGGAATTGAGTCGAGTAAAATTATTAACAAAAAAAGAAAAAAGAAAAAAAAAATACAAAACAAAGAGAAAATCTAATAACAAATTTTATAATAATAACTTATATTTATTATATAAACTACTATATAATAATACTAAATACTTATTTAAGTGAAATAATGATAAGACATTGTAAAAAACTTTGTAAGTTGTGCAATAAAAACCTGATTATATATATATACTAAATACTTATTATATAAATACTTATTATTATTAACAATAATCGATATCATTTTATTTATGCCACATAAATGTCTTAAGATGTTGCTTAAAAATGTATCAATTCATTTCAATTCATGCATTACATATTTAATATATCACAAAACATTAAATAAATTTTTATTAAAAACAGAATTTGTTTTTTTTTGTCGAATACCTAATCGAAAATATATTGTAATATATAGGAATGAATTTGTAGGGGCCCTTTTTTGGTATTTTAAGGACGTAGCCACGTAGCCACTTGATCCGTCACTGTTTTCATATCCTCTTGTGAAAACGCTAATTGTAAAATGAAGGTGGTACAAAGCATTCATGGAATCCTTTCTCCTTTCTCCTTCTACTAATCATCTTTGAGAAGAATCCCCCCTAACCCCCACACCCTCTTTACCTACCCCACTCAGCTGTCTTTCAACGTACTGCTATATCTACCCTTATTACACGTTACTAACACATATCTTTCCCTTATATGCTGTAAAGGTTCCTTCAAACTATTCCACACTGTTTAAACCTTTGCTTCTCTTGAAATATATGTGTGTGTGTGTGTGTGTATGTGTAGAACATAGTGATAATTTTCTCTGAATATTAATTCTTAGCATTATAAGTTAAACACGTGACACTTCATTTTATTAAATAATTATTACGCGATATATATCAAAGGAAATTTTATTTTTATATTTCTCAATATGTTAATTATTTTTTTTGAATTTTAAAAAATTTTTTTTAAGCTTTACAGTAACTTTTAAACATATTCATAATATTCCTACGGTTATATAACTCTTTTTAAATTCGTATTTTGTTTATTTACTTCTCGTCAAATACGTTGGGGAATTTAACGGACGCATATATGAAAGTAGTATTATGAAAATATATGTGTAAATTATGTAAAATTATAAATTTATACGTTTATCAAAACGTTCATGAACGATCATTTCAAAATTGTATATGTATATGAATGTGTACGTAGTTAAAAAATATCAAATTAAATTTTTGTGAGAGAATAAATGAATACGCGTGTATATATATAAATATATATTATATATACATGTGAGGTCACTGTTGGCGGCGTGACATTTTATTTAGTAATAAATATTCATAAAACACAAATCAGTAAGGAAATAATAATATTTAAAAAATTTCATTTTTTAAATATACGTGTATGTATGCATATAATTATTAGATACATCTAAACGTAAGATATCAAAAATAGGATAAATTATAACGAAGAACAAATTATAGAAATAAATTATAACGTAAATAACATATATATGCATATACGAGTAAAATATATGTGTTAGAGTAAAAAAAAAAACTACACGCGTTAAGTTTCTTAAATGTAAAAATAAATGTTTATCGAGTATGACACGCCACGTTAATGTAATTATAAATTCTACGCTTAACTTGTTTATTATACAAAATATTTCTTTTGTTTTCTTTTTTTTTTTAAATATACAAGCAGATAAGAAAAATAAACGACACTCGAATTTTATTCAATAATTAATTCATCTTATTTTTTATTTATATCTTGGATTTATTTTTTTCCTTTATTTTATTCACGTTTTATCGAATATTTAACAAAGATATAAGAAAAAACATAATTGAATATTATCTATTATTATTTCATTAATATATCATATATTAATTCTCATTTTTATTAAAATTGTAATTAGAATAAGAAATAATTATAAACATTTATCGATTATATTATTATTCTTTTACATTATATATATTTTTTATATTCCTGTTTCCTATTCAAGTTGTAATTAGGAAAAAGAAATAATTCATATTACCTATTAATACAATTTTCATTCTATTTCATTTATTACGTTTAATCCAAGTTGGTAATTAGGATAACAAAAATAATTAAGCATTATTAAATAATTCATTACTATTTATTATTATTATTACTTTTATAATATATGTATAATATTTCATATTCATAATACTTTATCATCCAAATAGTCATATACCTAATACATATACATATATAAAAATCCCTCGAGACGGTTATCTTTATAAAGGTACGAGATAAAAGGGGAGAAAGTAAAAAGGGTGGATAGGGAAATGTGGAAAGGGGAGGAGGGGGAGAGGGTGGGGGTGGGAGAGCCAGTAAATTCCGTAATTTGTTTGATGTTTAATACCTATCGCATTCAGAACGGGGGTTGGACAATGCAAATAAATGGGAAATTGAGAGATAATCCGTTGTTAATATTTGTTATTTCGCGTCATCCAACGTATTTTCGAGTATGGACATTTGTGAATAAAGAGAGAGAGAGATAGATAGATATATAAAGATAAATAAAATAGAATAAGAGAAAGAGATATATAGATATAGGAAGTAAAATTTGTTGTTTACCTTACTTCCACGAACGATTACTTAATTACATTTCTTGCGGCTCCCTTTGAGAGTAACGTTAGCGAATGTTTGCGAATCGTAACGAACGTTCTGTTCCCTCGAAAACTCTATATGTGTGTGTATGTGTATTTGAGTGTAGGTGGGTTTATGTGTGAGTTTACAAGTGAACACATAGAGATATGTCTACTATATATATATATATACTTCTATTTCAACATACTACCCCAACCATATTCTATTCTTCTCTTTTCCACCCCCTACCCCTACCCCTCCCCCACCACTCCGAGTAACCCCGTTTTCAAAACCGAGCTCAGAAATTATTTATTCCCCTCTTTTGTACGTACAACAAACAAGTTTTCATGGAAACGGTTTCGATGAGAGAGATACCCGCCCCCTTCCTGCCCCCTTCCCACGCCCCCCGTCCGAATAGATACCGTCGCGAGTTTAATTTACGACACGTTTCACAGTTCAACATAGTCAAATCGTAGGAAATTTCTAACATGTGTGTATGTAACACAGTAGTAACAGTGGAAGATAGTAAAAGTAATAGTATAGTAATGGTAGATATGGTGGTGGTGGTTGGAAGAGGGGGAGGGGCGAGGGACACACACACACACAGACACATAGACACACATACTAGCGCGACAAGGAAAGTTTGCGGAATGTGAAATCGAATTTCAACTGTGAGATACTCGAGATTCCTCTTTCCCCCATCATCTTTATCTATCTCTCTCTATCTATCTCTATCTATTTCACATACAGAGATATGTTTCAGAACGTGGGATTTATTCGAACGTTGGTTGGTTGGTTGGTTGGAGGGTGTATGTGGGAGAATGGGTCGTACAAGTTTTCGGTTATTTCGAATAAGATTTCACATTCTCTATCCCCACCCCCTTTTTCACCCCTAACCTTATCCAATCTCTTTCTTACTCTTGATCTTTTCGAATGAAATAGTAAAAATAGTCAAATAAGAAGGACACTGATGTGTATTATTCTTATTTTTATTTTTCTACTAGAACGTAAAGAAAAGAAACTCATCCCCTTCTCTTCCCACCCCATAGATAGTAAGAGAGATACTACACTACCGTGTATTCGAAAGTACATTTTCGTATACACAACTAACTCCCAACCAACCAACCCTTCATCCCCTATTCCCACCACCATCACGTATTTCTTCACCACTACTATATTTCTATATTTCTATTCACGTTCTGTTTTTCGAAGAAGAATAAGAATAAGATCTTTCCCGAAGGTCGTGTCCCGTTCGGTGGCATCATGTTACAACACTCTTTCCCTTGGCGTTTTCATATTTTACGTTCAAAAAGCACGATGGGATTTTGAGGCTGGTAAGGCCAACGCTTCGTATTCGCACGATAAAGTATATATATATATATATATATATATATATATATTTTATATA